AAAAAAAAAAAAAGAAAATAGCAGCAGAAAATTGTATACAGCATGCTAGCTATTCTTGTAATCCTGTTAGGTAAGACTTGCTGCTTTGTTTATTGGGCCTAATAGCGTCCACCTCCTTTCTCATCCCTCAATTCTACTTAATATTTGTGCTATTATATGTGTGAAAGAATTGTTTGTGAAATTTTCTTTATTTTTTAAAGAATAAAAAATAGTAATAAAAAATTAGGAATGATAACATTTCATTAAAATAAAATGAATTTGACAGTATTTGTTGTATTGCATCATGTGGTCTTCAACGTAGTTATTTAAATTTTCTTTCAATGCTGAGTGATATTATTATTAGTAGTAATATTCGTATTTTTAGTACAGGGTCTACAGATTGGACTTGTAATGATTCTTCTGTTTTCAGCCTCCCAAGTGCTGGGATTATAGGTGAGCAACATGCCCAGTCTTCAATATAAATATTATTAGAGAAATAAATCTTTTAAATAACTGTAAGTCTCTTACACATTTACTAGTTTCACAGTAAGAATTTCAAAGCATTAATCATCAAATGGAAATTGTACATTTGGTAATAAAAGCTAGTAACATATTTGGTGTGGTACACTGTGTATTTTGTCTTACTATGGCAAAACACTCAAGACTGGGAATTTTATAGAGAAATAGCTCGCTTAACTCACAGCATGGTGTTACTACCTGCTTGGCTCTGGTAAAGGCTTCATGTAGATGCCATCATGTGGCAGGAGTGTGACCTCCAGAGGGAGAGCGAGACTATGACAACCGGGTCTCCCAGGCACTGACTAGGTCTGTGAGACGTACCTGCATCAGCCCTTCCTGGTGTGATACCTTCTGTCATCTCATTACCATTTATAAGGCTGTACCTCTTAAGGATCCAGTGCTGACACATGCAGGCCAAGCTGCTGTTATATGAAACTGTGGGGGACATGTGCAAGCCTATCAAAAGCCACAGCACGTGGTGAAAGGACAGCGATGGCCGTATGGGCGCCGTTAGGGGGAAGGAAGTCATTCTAGCATGATATTTTGGATGCTTGAAACATTGACGGGGTGGTGACAGGTTGCTGGCAACATGGGTGTTGCTGCAGTAGCAGGGACAAGGAGCAGAATCAGCTAAAAGAGTCAACTTGGGAAATTTGACCCTGGTATTACATTTTCTTATGGGCTTTTCTAATAATAACGTGAAGAAATTGCGCTTGTCATCTCATGTCTTCATTTCATTCAGTACTTACCAAAACTCCAGTGTTTTTGCTGGCATTCTAGCCTTTATATAGCACGTGTTAGAATGCACTCCTTTTGAAAGGCTGAATGATTCTCCTTTGTGTGCATACACCATGTTTTGTCTATCTGTTCATCTCTTGATGAACACCTGGGTCACTGTCTTTAGGCTCCTGGGCGCATTGCCGCTGTGAGCACTGGGGTCATATAGCTACTTGAGTCCTTTCTTTTAATTTGTTTGGATCCATAACCAAACGTGGGGTTGCTGGGTTACATGGCTAATTTTCTCTTTAATTCTTTGAAGGTCTGCCATGTTTTCTGCAGCAGCTTCAGTGTTTTACAGTAACTGTCATCCATAATGATGTACAAGACCTCCAGTTTTCTGTACCTTTACTACCACGTTCCTTCCCCTTCTCTCCCAGTGTGTGAGCATGTGCGCCTTTATGTGCGTGCGCACATTGACGCGCTTGCGTGCGTGTGCGCATGCGTGTGTTTGCGTGCTTGCGTGCGTGGGTATTTAAGGGTGGCCATCTTGATTACGTACGAGGTACGCCTGGCGCTGTACCCTTCGTTACTTGTGCCGCTTGTTTTTGTAACTTTACTGCAGAAATGCCGACATCAGTAGAGTTAACAGTAAAGTTTACCAAAGTAGTCTGAGAACGGCGCACCATGCCTTCGAGGGAGGTTTTCTGAGAGGACAGGTCTTTTCCCACTCTCTTCCGTGGGGCAGCGAAGCCAGTGAGGCGGCCGCTGCTGCTGCTGGGTGGGGCGGCCCCGCGTCCCCCGCGCTCCAGAGCTCGATGTGGAAGGCTGGGGGCGCCACGCCACGCCTGCGGGGCTTGGCCGTGCAAATGTCGTTGGCGGGATGCGACGCCTGTGCGGTGCACAGGCTCTCCTGGGGTCCGTGGTGGGTGGTGGGGCCGCTTCCTGCGGAGACCAAGCACACCTCCGCTCGCTGGTGGCTGGCGCTCGGAGCAGAGCGGGGTCAGCGAACTTCCTGCCGTGTGATGGTGACCTCGGGTGGTGGCGGGGCAGAGGCAGAACCGTGGTGGGAGAGTCGGGTGGAGACCGCTTGCCACTCGGCGCTGTTTCCAAAGACAGGCAGCACTCGCGCCTGGGCTGGGCCGAGTCTGGCCCTGTGGTGTCGCGTTTCACCTTTCCTGTCTCCGCTTGACTAACTTCAACCTGTTTTACCACAGGCAGATCTCCAATTGGAGCAAAACCGGCAGCACTTTTATGAACTGTCTCTTGAATATGTCTGTAAGCTTCAGGAAATACAAGAAAGGAAGAAGTTCGAGTTCGTGGAGCCTGTGAGTATTCGAGCGAGTTTTGCGGTGCCCTATGTGTACATGGAAGACGCTGTCACACACGGCCAAGCGTGCACATGGTCAGAGCCAAGGGTCCGCAGCCTTGGTGACAGAACCATGTGTAGTGACGTGCCCCAGGACTGCCAGGGGTTACCCTTTCTCCCACCTTTCTTGTAGCATCACTGTTTAAAAGTCCCTGTAAAGCAATTTATATTAGAATGTGACTGAAAGTAGTTGTGTTTCATGGGAGAGACCTGTAGTCAGCTTTGTTCAAACTTTGATTTTCTTAAACAGTTTTTCTTAACCTGATATCTCTCACAATCATATGGTAATCTAAATGGAAACGATATGTGGGACATTCCACCCAGTTTTGTGAGTGACTTTAGCATTTATTTCATACTAAAATTACATGACTTTTTGCCTTTGATTATGTATGTGTGGGTATACATATGAATACTGGTATTTTCAGAACCAAACTAAAGGGTGTCTTATACTGTGGATTTTAGAAAAATAAATATTGGAAGTTACAATTGTCAAGCTTAAATGTAATATTTTTGTGTGTGTGTTTTT